CCCCAAAACCCCAAAACCCCAAAACCCCAAAACCCCATCTCATCGGAACATTCTTGAAGTGGTAATAAAATTAATAGATAAAATGAAGCACCTCATAATTTTTGTGGTTATCATTGCTCTTGCTTGCTCAACAATGCAAGATAAATTAAGTGGAGACCTTTCCAAGCATAGAGCTTATAAGGAATCCCCACTAGAGTTGGCTATGAAGGGTAAACTCACTCCAGAGATCAAAGAGAATTTGTCAACTTTTCTCCAACTTGCAAAGACTTACGTTCCAGCTCTCCAAGAGATCAAAGATGCTAAAGCAACTTTAAGCAGAACCATAGATTGGGAGTTCAACATTCTCGGGTTTGGATTTGCCTTTGAACTGTACATTGAGCTTATCGTTGGTTGGAGAGTAGCAATGACTGACGATCTTGCTCATAACTTGTGGAACCTTACTTACGACCCATTTGTGACTGGGTATTTGAACACAAGCGTACATGGAGATATCCCATTTGCTAGAGGTACTTACTACACTGAACTGCAGTATGCTGATGCTCATTCTCCAATCTCTGTTGATATCTATGACACAAATGTGTGTTTTGGAATTGATTACCATATTTTCCCAATAGATATGGCTACAAGGATGAATATATCACTTCAAGAATGTTCCGATGAGATCCTAAATGAATTGCTCAACAATGGAAGGATCGGTCTCACCTGTAACCGTCTTCCAACTCTAGACTTTGACCACCTCCAATTCAGATTCACAGAATACCAAGGGGGAAATATTGGTCAAGATATCTGTTTCGACCATCCATTCTAATTTTGGTTAAAAATTGCATTCTACACTCAAAATTTTTCTTTTCAGAATAAAATAGAGTTGCTAAAACTTGTGAATACTTTTGCTCTAATCTTATAAAACACTCAAACAATAGCTAACACAAAATTTCTCAAAGGTTGTCAAAAATAGAGTTTCATCTCCATCCCAGAGACTTGTAAAACTCTGAGATCTATCAGCATGTTAAAATGTATAACTCCAGTATTGAGGACTTTTAAGGTCAAACAAAAACTCATGAATCTCTTAATTCTAAACATACCTACACTTGAGTTATCCAAATCAGGATGCTCCAAACCTCTTCAAAACAGCCCAGAACATGCACCTAAACATGACTGGATTAGTTTGGGCTAAACCCTTCCATTTTAATACCCTGCGTGCCACCTCGAAGCGACCCGTTTCGTATTTATGAAACTATCCAATTTTTTCAATATTTCCCCAAGCACTGGGGTTTTGGGGTTTTGGGGTTTTGGGGTTTTGGGG